CCATGAATAATTTGTTTACTACCGATTTCAGATTCGAAGCCTTTTCATTTCAGAAGTAAAATGACATTCTGTGAAATTTTGAGATGATGGAGAAGATTTGTAGCTCAGGTGGATGATCTTGGTGGAGTTTTGTTCTCTGAGCTGTATGGTTTAGTCGTGGAGTTTTCATTGTTATTCTGAACGACATCATTGATACAAACTTCATATAGTTTGTGCTGATGATGTTGTTCAGAATAACAATGAAAACTCCACGACCAAACCATCCAGCTAAGAGAACAAAACTCTATCAAAATTCCGTGAAATTATTTGTACAAATGATTGACCTAGGTGTATACATATCAGAAGTTTTATATATATATCACTAAACGTATTAACACGCCAGTTTAGTTTTACTATCTAATCACTGGCGAAGTACTTATTGTCATCAAAATACATGACATATCAAAGTCACATGTAAGTAAAGGAAAAAAATTGTTGTCTAGTGAGATTTGATGGTTTTATTTTATTTTCCATGTACCTTGATGTTTTTCGTTAAAAAAATGACGTAAACAAAACAAATGTCTGTTAATTAAATTGACATTTCCAATGTAAAACCTTTTCAATGAATATTTTTATTTGTTTTTCTATTATTCTTCAGAATAAGTAACAAATATTATAAATAATAACTGATAAGTCAAGTAATATAGATTGTAGATAACAAATACAAAATCACTGAAGTATGAAATATACCATATTCATTGGAGTAGTTACGTTTGTAACATAGGATCAATGTTATATCTTGACATGTATTGAACCAATCAAAAAACTCATTGAATTCTGTCAACAATAAAAAAATCAGATAGGAATATTTGTTCTTTGGAAATTGACAATTTCCCATTGTAATTTTTTGTCTTTGATTTGATCTAATTAAGAAAATAGTGAATGTCTAAAAATACAAATATATAGTTTTATTAGTTTACCTAATGAGTTTATGCTTTAGAAAAGATAACATTGATGAAATTCTCATAGTTTATTTCAGAACATGAAAGTGCATTACAGTGAAAAAGAATATTGGAATTTGTTGTTATCTTTACAATCTATCTACAGTAGTAAATAATAATTCAGGATTATCTAAAGATGAAGGACAGCTATTCAGGATAAAAGGAAAGGAGAACTACAGAGGAATAACACTAGTGTCAGTACCAGGAAAAGTTCTCAACAGAGTGTTGCTGAACCAAATGAAAGACTCAGTAGAAACCCAAATCTGAGATCAACAGGCTGGATTCCATAAAAATCGGTCATGCACAGACCAAATCGCGACGCTACGGATCAATATTGAACTGTCATTTGAATTGAACACGTCACTATACATCAACTTCATTGGCTATGAGAAGGCGTTTAGCAGTGTGAATAGGAGAACATTATGGAAACATCTTCGATACTATGAAGTACCTGAAAAAATCCTCAACGTTATCCTGAATTCATACGACGGACTACAGGGTTAAGTGGCACATAGAGAACTGCTGACAGATGCATCCCAAGAAAGTCCTGGAGTCAAACAATATTATTATTAATAATTACATCCTACTTCCGTAATATTTGCTTTTTATGCTCAAGTACATATAACAATTTCTTTAGTTATAAAAAATTTAGATAATCTTTTAAGATATTTAAAAATACTTTTACAGATCATATTGCATGCATTAAAAAATGGGCAAGACTATAATTTATGGATGAACCAATCAGATTCACGATAGCAGGCCTTGAATTTCCGCGCAAAATTAATTCAACCATTTAGCTAATTACAGTTCTGGTGTCATAACTGATGTCAGTTCATGAAGAAAATCCTAACTATCAACTGTAAATATTAACTCTAATTCCTCACACTGGTTTATAACGCTGATTTGACCGTAGTATGTATGTGGATATTCTCAAAGTCTTTTTAACGTTATTCATAGGTCGTCCATCAATTATAATCTCACCCAAAAATCATTCGAATTTACATTAACTAGTTCGAAAGAAATAATTATTAGAAAAAAACTTATCAAGCGTCAAATTGATCGGTTTTTTCTTTATCAGGCCAAAATTGTAATAACCTTATCTCTTTCGACTTAATCATGATAGTTTTTCATTAATTAGTTTCCTTCCTGTTCTATTCAAGTCATCATGAAAGGATGATGAATTTTTTTTCTTCTAATGTATCTATTTAGTTCAATAGCTAAATATAACATTTCCCACTTGTTTAGTGGTTCTTTTTTTGACTTATTCTTGTATTCTTATGTATTTATGGGACTATTTAAACACTAAGTAAGATTCTTATAATTAGTGATCGATCTTATCATTACAAATTCGTAAGCTATACGTTCATATTTACATTCATATTAGTTTGTTTAACTTATGGTTTATTTATTGAGATGAATTTATGGAAGAAATCATTCTCAATATATATTTTTATAAGGTTTTTAATATCACGCTGTTATCGAATTCGGTACAGCGGATTCAATATAAGTAGTATATACGAAGTTATAAATATATATACAGGTAGATAGATAGATATATAGATAAATTAATTAGTAGTATCCATATATATTATCACGGGACAGATAAATTATAGAGTCAGATAAAGTTACTAGAAAACACTTTTTTTTGTCTACTTAGTTTTATCCACTAGACAGGAGATATTTCTTTGGTTTATTGTTTTACGCGAATTAAAATGTATGTAGATTTCTATAGGGCAAATGAAATTATTTACTATCAGGTGTGTAGTAAACGATATTCTGCAATAGTTCATTACCATATGATGAAGGGCATAAAATACATTGTACCATGTTTCTAACTTATAATGTCAAAAAAATTGACTTTACTCAAGTAATACACATGACTGCAGTCATTTTTGGTTACAATTCTTTGTCTTAAATACGTTTATTGAGAATTGTTTATGGAAAGGGAATATTGTGAATCCCATAAAAGACTTTATATTTTGTAACATTCTTATATTTTGTTTTTAATTGGTTTACTTAGTTTCTAGTCTGTTCTACAAAAACGGTCGTCAATTTGAATGCAGTTTCAAGTGAATAAGGTCTACTCTTTGTATGTGTTATAAATTATTGTTTTTAGCTTCCGTTTACCCATCAAATCGTTATGGTTATGGTGTTAGACAATTTCAAAGACAGTAGGTGGCCAGTAAATAATATGTTCGTTTAATGTAAAAAAAAATGAGTAAATTTTATGTTGAATTATTGAAGAATACAATAAGTACTTATTCCATTTACTTTGTAACTTCTTTTAATTGCTCAACATTTTATACCGCGCGTTTGAAATATTAGTAGAATTTACCGGAAAACTAGACAATCCAGACCGCTTTATCCCTGTTAATCAAAATAATGTCACTTTTGAATGGATTATGGAACCTAAGTGCTTACCTACTGGAAAAACACTTATGATGATAATGAAATATAATCTAGTAGTATTGAAAAAGAATGTATTCATCAAAGGTAATTATACAAGTACACCATATGAAATATCTAGTAAAACTCTAGACAATATACGAGGAATGCATTTATTTTATATGAAACCTTTTGTTTTCAATTAACATCTGTTTTTTAATTTTCAATTTATGAATTACATTGTTTAAACTTAACAATCTTCAACATTAAATTATTTCTACATACGTGTACATATTATGTAATTCACATTATTCATGTAATTTATATGTGCCAATACACGTACTCTAACTCTCAATCAAGAACTTATTAATCTCCACAACCCCTATACTAGTAATTAACATTTTCTCACTAGTGACTAGCTTCGTGAAAGGCTTCTCGGAGTTCTAGTGAGAAGCCGTGACCAGTGGAGCTAATCCATGTCGGGTAGAGAGAGGTATCTACCTCAGTACAATGGAAGATGGTCGCGCCATTTCATGGATTTCATGGATGCCGGCTCAGTGGTCCAGTAGGTTAAGCGTTCGCGCGCGAGACCGAAGGCCCTAGATTCGAGTCCCGCGAGCGGGATCGTGAATGCCTACTGTTGAGGAGTTCCAGAATAAAACGAAACGGCTGTCCAGTGCTTCCAGGTTTCCAAAGGTGGTCTAACATCAATCGGTTTATGATCTCAATCAAGAACTTAATAATCATCAAATAAATGTACTTTTTTTGTCGCCCACAGAACTCTGTCTGTAAATATTATTAAAATTATATATATGCGTTTGCATAACCACTAAATAAATATAACAAAATATAAGGATCTTATAAAATGAATTTTTCTCAGGAAAATATTTTTTTTAAGCACATCAACAGAAAATGTCATCAAAATAGATCTCATATTATTTCACGATGGAACAGTCATATTGTGGTGATGAAAATTCAATGAAAGTTTATTCTACAGTATTATTAATATGTTTAAGGGTGATTTATATTTAGAGTATCACATTTTTAAAATGAAGTGATTAGTAGCTTTTGATATATATGATTAATGTATATCAGAGAGCCGTGATATATCTCTTTAAACATTGTTTAATAGTTAGCATTTCAGTGTAATAGAAAATAGCTTAACAGTTAATATAGATAACCGCTTTCAAAAATGTTTTTAACCACCACAGATTTCATTTTAAGTTAGATGTATAGTGAAATATAAAGTACTTTGAGATGGTGGAGAAGGTTTGTAGCTCAAGTGGATGATTTTAATGGAGGTTTGTTCTCTGAATTGGATGGTTTTGTCGTGTAGCTTTCATCGTTCTTCTGAACGTTTATTTTATATGAAATCTTTTAGACACTAAAGTAATCAAGTGAGAATGTTTTGGATTGTTTCAGAATATATAAATGTTGAACTAAAAAAATGTTTCTACGTCCTAAATGTCATTGGGTGTTTCAAAATTATGGAATTATGAGGCGTATTCTTTCAGCAACTCTTGGGGACGCTAGATACCCAAAACTCATATTTTGCAATTTTATAGGTGTAAAAGAGCTTTGGCTAAGTCAAAAGGGGAGGAGACGTCAAAGGACGCGTTGAGAAATTTCTTATGCGTATACCGAACAACACCAAATGAGATGTTGCTGGAGCGAAAGTCCCCAGCAGAGATCCTCGTAGGAAGAAGACCGAAGACGATCCACAGCCTGATGCATCCAAGTAATGCACCAACACCAGAACGGACTAAGTTTGAAAAGCAATCCACGTACGAAGTGGGATGTTCTGTGTTTGCTCGTGACTACAGACCAACCCGTGTTCCATGGATGGAAGCGTGAGTGGTCAGAAGAGTTGGCCGAGTCATGTACAAAGTTGAGGTAGGTAGCGACAAGTGGCAACGCCATCGGAATCAGTTACGCAAACGGCTAGCCCCTGACTCCCCATCAACCGAAGCAAATACTCCCTTTGACATCCTTCTAGACACATTCAACTTACCGGCAGCTCCACCACAAGAAAAACCTAAAGAACAAGCTGAAACACGTTCCAGACGATGGCCTCTCCGACAGCGGCGAGCAACAGTCAAGATGCAGGTCGACCTCAGGAACGCAAGCTATTAAAAAAGGGGGGAGTGTTAGGGATGTTAGATCCCCAAAACTCATATTTTGTAAATTTATATTTGTGGAGCTTGTATGCAGATGTATGTTTAGGCATTTCTTACCACCCACACACATAGTCGATTGACGAAATTATCGATTAAATGTTTAAAAACTTCCATGGCAATATCGATCATATATATTTTGTATAAATAAGCTTGATTTGTGTGCTTGAAGAACCCGGTGTCTTCTGTAGAATACACTTTATACATCTTACCAAGACTTCTGGATCGAGTTAGCTGAGTCGGGGACAACGGACCAGTATAGCCTATCGAGTCTCTGAATCCTTGATTCTTCGTTCCGTTCCGAGTAAGACGAATCAGTAGTAGCATTCAAGATAATGAACATAACAACAACACGTGGATTTTATTACAAATTCATCGTTTTATATTGTTGATATTGCCATTTACACTAAGTATTATATATTCTCAAAATATTAATTACACAATTCACATAGGTTTACAGGCATGATCAGCTTGATATAAATAATAACATTAAATGTAGAAAGCAAACATGTGATATAAAATTGTTTTAAGTTTACTAGTTCAAAAATTGTTCAAGTAGTACATTTATGATATGTATTACAGCAATGTAATGTGTCGACCAGGATCATTTGTTTCTTCTTAAGTGGACATTCTGCTGATTTATGAACAGTGCATTTAAGGTCATTTCCTGTGCCATAACGAATTGATTATAATTATCTACAACTAGTGAAATTAAAATGGATTAAGCCATAAGTTGAACCAATAACTTTAAGTATTGAAAAGACGGAGTTGATCAGAAAAATATGGTTTATTTATATAAAAAATTACGAATATTCTAGTTATATGTATAAAAATAACTTTGAGTCAGTCAAATAAAAAGTTAAATGAATATAAAGTAATAGACGATTACATCACATTTCACTGAATTTTGGACGCTTATACAGAAATACATTCGTGTTGTGGAATAATTGAAAATTACAATTGAAAGTGATGAAATATGTACACAAGTGTTTTCACAATCAATTAAAACAAAATACTTTAGTAAATCAAGAGAATAGTAACATAATGCTACTCAATAGGGAAATACACAATCAAATCAGGTCGTAAAATTGAAACGAAATCAATTTTTTAAAGTTTTATGTAGTAGTTCTTAAATGCTTGCTTATAGAAGCATTGGTTATTAAAAAAGCTGAACGCTTTTTTTACGTATACAAAACCAATTTGTTCTAAACTTGGATATAATGTGGTATTCTTCATTCCATCCTAAAAACTAAAGTAATGTGATAACATTTTACATCTTTCATATCATTTACTTTCTCCCTTGTTTGTTAATCTATATTTATTTGGCGCTTACTTTGATTGTCTTTTGTTAGTTTTCATGTATAAATCCCATGATAAGTATATGTGTGACCAGATTTTTCCATACAAATAACCTGAATAAACCACATTTTTTCTAGGTTAACTACATCTTCTTACCACATTGTGAGAAGTTATTTTAAAATTGGTAGATTATAAAACTTGGTTGCTTTCTAGCAGCTCTTTTTTCTAAATAACATGCCGATTAATGAATAATACCAAAGTAATAACATTACAACTAACTTGAATATACCCAATATCTCATAAAGCAACTAATTTAAAGAAGAAATCCTTATCAACAAATTCATTTTCATAACTGTACAATTGTATACATATGTCACAAATTATAGATTATAAAACTGTACATCTGTTAGAATAATAACAGTTGTAATTAAAAGTTAACTATATAGTTCAAAGTAAATAGTTACATCAGAGGGAATTTATCAAACGTAAGAAATATATAATTAGTAGGATAAAGTAAATGTGAACGTCATAAATCAAAATGTTAAAGTAAAGAGAATTTAATGAAAATTGTAACTGGGACTGCTAACTAATTACATAGATAATAATCATGCATAGTAAAGAAAAACTAGAAAACATTTATCCAAACAAAAACTGTAAACTATGTAAATGAGAGAAATTTAACAACTATTTCAGTAAACACAGTTACGATTTTTAGATGTGTATGGATAAAGCTTCTAGAATGTGGGTAATTTTGTAAATTGACATTTAAAGAATAGAATGGTAATTCGATTCATATTCTTTATTGATTATAAGCTTAAGTGATTACCTACAACTATTGAACAACGTAACATAATTTGGATATTGGTGTTTTCATCATATATTGCAAATGCGTCATTGCTATGCTTCCTGCGAATAAATAGTCTATTAGCTTTCGTCTTTAAACATTTCATTACGAAATTAACCATGAAGAAATCGACTAGAGATGAATACAGTAGAGACCCCATCAGAAGGATGTTTATTTTCGCCTTATAACAAATATAAATGACAGTTTACGTCACTCACCTGGCAAATGGTCGGTGGCAATTCTCTAATCAGTTCAAAGACACATCAGTAGATGCCGAAATTTCGATTCCCTTAGGTTCGTGGATTTAGTGACCAGCATTCATGTATCCGGGAAAAGGATGATATCAGTAAGTATTACTTCATTCTTCATACTCCTCTCACAGAGTTTATTTGTTTAAATGTGGGGATGATAAAAATAACAACAAAGTCATTTCGAACATTATCTAAAAGAACCGCTACTACATTTTCGACTCGCAATTCAGATTTAATGATTATTTCTGTGGGTATTTAGAAAGAGAGAAATAATTGTGATTCGCAGGTAAATGGAGTCAAATATGTAACTTAACTGATAGAAATAGGTACTTTAAACGTCATGTTCTAGGAACAAGTCAAAGAAATACCTTGAAATCTACCTTTCAAGCAGTACATAAAAGTGTTCATGGAAACATACACTGACTTCCCGAAGTTCGAATTATACAAAAATTCAAAATTTCTTTGTATAATCAAAAAAGGTGTCTGTACAAATTATAAACCTATTTGAATAGTATTACTTTTAATTTCGAATATCAAAAGTGATGTGTCTGTTATTACTATATTTTTGGTATCAATATTTTATTATTACATTTTTAACCCTTTTTAAAATAAACTTTCTTACGTTCAAATGAAACATTGTGGACAAATTTAAGCCATGAACAATGAAAATGTTCTCTTTTGTAACTTAAATAGCATTGACTTGTATTCATTTATTAATGTAGGTATTATTAAGATGACCTAACCCTTCTATCCCATACACATGAATAAATACAAGTCAAGACGAACAGTATAGCGTCAGCCTGCATCAGTAGGCCTCATCATACACAAAAGAAAAGGCAAGATCCTAAAATACAACACAAAGAACATTAATGCAATCACACTTGATGGAGAAGCTTTGGAAGAGGAGGAAGGTTTCATGTACCTGGACAGCATCATCGATGAACAAGGAGGATTGGATGCAGACGTAAATGCGAGGATCGGCAAAGCAAGCGCCACATTCCTACAATTGAACAACACATGGGACTAAAAACAACCGTCAACCAATATCAAAGTCAGAATCTTGAATACAAGTGTCAAGACAGTTCTATTGGACAGAGCTGAAACGTGGAGAATTACCACAACTGTCATCAAGAAGATACAAATATTTATAGACAGTTGTTTACGCAAGGTACTCAATATCCGTTAGCCGGATACTATCAACAGCAGCCTATTGTGGGAGTTAACATACCAGCTTCGAGCTGAAGAGGAAATTAGGGAAAGACGTTGAAAGTGGTTAGGACATATATTACGGACATCACCAAAATGTATCACGAGTCAAGCACTAACTTTGAATCCTGAAGGGAAACAGAAAAGAGGATGATCGAAGAACACACTGAGTAAAGAATCAGAAGCAGACATGAAAAGGAAGAAAAGCAACTTGAAAGGATTGCCCTGGACATAGTAGAAGAGAGAGTTCAAGAACAAATATTGGTGCAGAATAATATGAATTCATTTTGTTTCGTTAGGTTCTCATCAGCTGTTTACAACGTAAAATATTTGAAAATCAGAGTTATTACAGATATTGACATACTTATACATAAGAGGGTGATTAAGGATGCATATATGTATCATGATGTAGCGAAGATTTCAGTATAGTTAATAAGGTCATAGAAAATGTTTGTTTCGAATAAATAAATTTTGGGAGGGAAGGTTCCAGAACATTGAGATAGTGATTAGAACCCATGGAATTAAACACACATGATTATGTAATCAAGTAACTGAAAATAGATTAATGGTAATAAAGAAAGATATGAATTGAAATCAGTCAGTTATGAATGATGTAATTTTAAAATTCAGAAAGATTTGGAATAATAAATGACGTATTAAATAAAAGTGGGGTTAATGTTACCAGGGCAAAGAAAGATTTATTACTGTCTCTTTTTGTATACACAGATCTTGTTTTAGCCGTTTGATTGCTATTGCTTTGGCAAATTTCACAAGGTTGGAGTTTGATTGTTTGTTAATCACCTTGAAGTCCTTCAAGGTGAAACAAAATCTTATGACCTTATTAACTATATTGAAATCTTCGCTACATCATGATACATATATGCATCCTTAATCACCCTCTTATGTATAAGTATGTCAGTATCTGTAATAACTCTGATTTTCAAATATTTTACGTTGTAAACAGCTGATGAGAACCTAACGAAACAAAATGAATTCATATTATTCTGCACCAATCTTTGTTCATACTTTCTTTAAAATAATAAAGAGAACTATGTGTGAAGCATAGAGAGTGCTTGTTGGCGACCTATGCTCCTTCATGAGGGGTAACAGGTGTAATTCAATTGAATTGAATTATGTAAGCATTAT